TTTTAGGAGAAGAGGAAGAGGAGAGGAAGAGGAAGAGGAAAGCGAGATTTTGGATACATAATATAAATAGAAAACGACTAGGTTTTGGTGAATTTCACACATTATTCCCCGATCTTGTAGAGGACGATGACAAATTTTTCCAGTACTTTAGGATGGCCCATGAAAAGTTCGAATGTCTACTTCGATACCTAGAGGAGAGTCTTTCTAGACATGATACAAATTTCCGTGCCGTGGGGTGCGCGCACTGGGACAGCACGGACGTCACGGACGCCGCGGAATTGTCCTGAGATTCGCTCCTCCGAACTTTCTGACAGACGTCGGTGGCGGCGGTGGCGTCCGTGACGGCCGTGCCGTCCTAGTGCGCGCACCTCCATTACATTACATGGGAACGACTTTTGGAAAAGGCCGGTCGTGACGTCCGTGACGGCCGTGACGGCGCAGTGCGCGCGGGGCTTTTATCAATGGTGAGCAGTAGGTCGGGTGCTGATAGGCAACATGTCGTCAGCAGCTTATTGCATAACATGCCGTTGTATCTGTGTTCTGTGTTTTAGAATTTGGGACGACTTATATCGCTTATATTCTGTGCAGCCAGGGAGGCACATATAGTTTTTAGCCATAATCTTAATCATTTTTTTTACTATACAGTATCACCTACTATATTGTTCAATATTCTATATTGTGTACACACTTTTTACGCCGCGAGTTTCATAGATTTTAAATTGTGTAATTAATTTAAACCCAGAGTTAAAATTTAAAAATATCTGTTAAGGCTATCTTTGCAAATATGTGTGTTTACCAAAGTAGTGTCAATGTCAAACTAACCTTTATAATCCCCCCTTTCAAATGATTATTACTCGGTTATGATAAGTTGTATGTATTTTAATTTTTAGAGTTTAAATAGTGTAACAATAATTTATAATCCCCGTGCATTTAGTGTGTTCAAGATTACCAAAAATACACTCATTTAACGAACTATCCTACTTACTATCTGCTCAAGTACACAAGTTATGTAAAAGTTCTGTTATGTTTACAAAAGCCACTGGTAAGTTGAAAAGTTAAGCGAAGTGTTCTTCAAGTCAAACATAAAGTGAGGTTAATGTTAATTATGTTCTCAAAATGTAGTTAGTGCTGTAATTAAAAAGTTGTAACAATGAAAGTTGAGATGATGGAAAGAAATGTTGTCCAGCATTGTTATTCGAGATTAAAAGTAAGTTGAATACTTATAATATAAAAAGTAGTGGACAATGCATTCACCCTAAAACTTTTCGAATATGCTTTTTGGTTGCTTGGACTTTTTTGGGTTCGTATTATGACAATGTTTATTGAAACTTGGTACAATAAAGTTTTTGATTAACATTTTGTCTTTGATGAACAGCTATATGATTTTTAATGTTATTGTACTATAGTGACATAAGACGTTAAGATATAAATCTATGAGCAAATTATATCCTTGAAAGCATTTTTTATTATATAAATACGATCTAGCAGCCAGCGTCACTTCGTGCCTTCAAAATCGTGATTCATTGTTTAGCTGTATTTACACAGTATCCACCCCGTTAAATAAAACGTTATTTGACAGATACAAAATTAATCTATATATTAACAGGCATTCATGTTTCCTTAAAACCTGTTTTTTTTCAGCTCGAGTGCATCATAGGGAAAATCTACGCATACTGTTAAAAAGATATTTTCCTGAAGTGTGCAAAATACCTGTATAAATTAAAATAGACTAAAAATAAGCATTTAAAAAATTAACATGGGGCTTATGGGTTGCTATGCTGGTGACGAAATAATCACGAAATGTTAACAGAAAATACAAATGGAACAAATACCAATCATATGTTTTATTTACAGCATGGGGTGAAAAAATAGAAGTCTGTACGTGGTCTGTACATTACATATTTTTAGTCGAGTTTTCGACCACTGGACGACCTCTAGTTATATTTAATCTATTCCATTAAGAGTATTAGCAATTTATTTTTTCCAGTTGTTTTTTTTTTCATTAATAGTTTACTAAATTTTTAAATTTACTTTTCCGTCTTAGATTGTTTTAGGAATTTAAGTAGGTAATTTTATGTGTAAGGTATGGACACAATACACCCTGAACTGATAAGGCTATATTAATCGTTTCTTCATTTTATTCTTGGGCACAAACTGTTGTTAAAAACCTTTGTAGCCCTTTTAAATTTTGGTTTTGCACCACATTCACTCTTGACTTAATCATTAAATTTATTGTTATTATGTTATCATAGAGGGCTCAGAAAAATACTTATTAGAATTAAAACGAAACAACGAATGACTTATTCGGGCTGAAGCGAAACAAACACAATTATTACGCAAATTCTATTCATGCATATATTTTAAACACAGGACATGGATACAAGTAGACAAGTATACCATCGAAACAATGTACAGGTGTCAATAATGTACAGGTGTTAGATCAAATTCCTACGATTTCTGCTTATCTCAATTTAATTTGTAGATTCTTTGAGCAAATATATATTTAATTCAAACTATTATAATTTCAAATTATTAATTTCTTTTGTACATTGTATATGTATATACATTGTATTTGCAGAAGTGTCAAATTTGTTTAAAATAATTATATATAATATTTATATACCCTTAATTTTATTTTAACTGTTGTGATATTAATATGTAAATTTGAACTTAGCGGCAACCGGAAGGTTAGCTACAATAACTGCTATCTAGCCACAAAGTCAAACATGGTTACAAAGTATAACAATCATCTGTGCTGAGTTAAATGATATTTTCTACTGACTGAGTAATCTCGGCTTTATGAAGTTTACTTAAGAAACTTTTGCAGCGAGAATGAAAGTGGCATTTTCTTCGGCCAGTTTCATTCAAATATAATTAAATTTTTCGAATATTACCTGTTTTGCACAGATTTAGCCACTATATTTTATCTATATATTAATAGGCAAGCACGTTTCTTTAAAGCCTTTTTTCTCAGCTTGTGTGAATAGTTGGATAAATCTACGTATACTGTTAGAATGACATTTTCCTATAGATGTGCAGAATCCGTTTAAAAATTAAAATAGGCTGAAATATAAGCACAAAAAATTAATTAAAAATTAAAAAAGTTTACATTGGCTTTATAGGTTGCTATGCTGGTGACGAAATAACAACGAAATATAAATAGTAGGGAGGCGAATGATCAAAATTCCAAAGTTGGCTCACCCCGAAAGGTAACCGGTGAACACTATGCTAGATGACATTGTATAGTAGTAGAGATGATATTTTGACCGGTGTTCACTCTGTATGAGTGGGACTCTCTTTTCTGGACGCCATTTTGGAAAATGGCGGATGTCACTGTTTGATCTTTGTATAACTCTAGCAAAAATGAACCGATTTTGATGAAATTTGGTATAAACGTTTAAACTTACATTTATTCGAACGGGTTCACGAACCAGCATGATCTGATCATATGAACGGGGGTTTATGGGGGTTTTATGGAGGATTTTATGGGAAAAAAATGGGATTTTTTTATTTTTTGCCCCCAAAGCACAAAATTTTTCTATTTTTCTCTAAACCATTTTAAAGAACTTAAAAAAACAAATAATTTAGTATATTCATGTATTTTTGTACCCTTATTGGTTACGGAGAAAATTCAAAAAAGTGTTAATTTAAAATTCCCATGTTATTCTTATGGAGGATATCGTCAACTCTTGTAGTTTGCTTGTTTATGGATATATTTTGATCATACTTGGTAAACTTATTTATTTATACTAAGATATTAATATTCTACTAACATTCACGCTTTATTAACCTCCCTGTGTTATTGTATGTATAATTGAATTAATTTAAAAACGAATCAGGCAATTGAAAATCCACTTAGTCTGCAGGTTCGCTGTGACGAGGGTATTTTATTCTTGACATTTCTTCCTATACCTAGTGGTTCAGGAATCAGGAGATATAAGCAGTTAAAGCTGGGGTTTCCTCCATGCTAATTAGATTGATCCGTGTATCTGTCACCCTAATGTATCCCGTTGGGCCTTCGCACTTTTCTATATACACAATTTATCTTCTATTTTTAAAATGATGGACCTCAATACAATGAGACTAAGGCTTGTGCCTTATATAAATATACTAACACAAAATAAGTTAATTAAAAGAAGAGATTATAACATTGAAACACTTTTGTATTAAGAAAGAACTACAATAAAATCAAATATCAAGTTTACAAACAGTCAGCTGATCATATGATAATTTTAACATTGCGTATAGTTGAGACAGTAATTAGCAGATTCAAATTAATGGCAAAACCATGTAGCCACATACTCCCCTCCCAGTGTCAACGAGGAACGTAACGATGCGGGGGGTGAACACTACGACCTGATCTTGTAAAAATCAGTGTTTTTTTAAGGTCAACATCTTCATTTCTGTCTTTGGTCTTGTCTACTTGAGTTTCTCTAGGTTGCATGTCATTTTTTCTTACGTTAATGGTCGTATCGTTCATAGAATCTTGAAGGAGGAATGCCGGTTTGAGTCGGTCAATAGAAATCAACGTAGGTCCTCGTGGAGTAAGAATAGTAAACCACTTGTCAGATCGCGAAACCACTTGGTAAGGGCCATCATAGACAGCTTGCAACGGTATTCGGGATGAATCGTGACGAACAAAAACATGGTTGGATGTTCTTAATTCTGGATGAACAAAGACCTTCTTAGAAGAATGGTATTTGGCTTCTATTGGTTTGAGATCATTCATTTTTCTTTTCAGATTGTACACTAAATCAGGAACATTTGTTGAGGTATCTTCTGTAGTTTGAAAAAGATCGCATGGCAATCTGATGGACTGACCTAGTGTCATTTCTGCAGCAGTAACATTGTGTTCTGGAATAATATAAGATCTTAGTCCCAGTAGAACCATTGGTAACGTCTGTGTCCAGTTAGATGTGAGTTGAGCCGTTAATGCAGATTTCAGATGTCGGTGCCATCTCTCGATCTTTCCATTAGCTTCAGGGTGATACGCTGTAGTTTTAATGTGATGGATACCGAGATGTTTTGTTAATTCCTGAAATAAATTGCAGTCGAATTGTCTTTTTCTTATCCTTTTCTCTTTTTTCATCTGCTTGTTGTTTACGTTTTTGAGACTTAATCTGGGCCTTGAGTGCCATTTCCGGCGTCATGACCTTTTCTCTGTATCCAGTGGGCAGTGCCAATAGCTGTTCTCCACTGGAGCCAGGCTCTTTATCTGTGGTTTTTCGCTCCAACATTGCTCTTTGCCTTGCAGTCATCAGCTTAGGATCCTTAGGCTTTATCTTTTTCAATTCGTCATCTACCTCTTCTAATTTTCCAGATTCTATAGCATCTAACCATCTTTCCTCTTCACTTGATGTTGCACTCTCCTTACCTTTTTTTTTTTTTTTTTTTTTTTAACATTCAAAGTATAGTTGAGACAGTAATTAGCAGATTCAAATTAATGGCAAAACCATGTAGCCACAAGACATTAAATTAACTTTTATTTAATTATTATCAGTTATTACAATAATATTTCTTTAAACATAAATTCTTTACTGTTTGTATTCTATCGTGCTTAGTTTTGTAAAAATTTCGGATTGAACAGAGCGGCAAATCCTCATTTGAAGGGTTCGGCGGGTGCTAGCCACCCGCGGCTGTCGTAGCATCGCATTCGTACTGAAGTCCAGTCATAACCATCGACATATAAAACTAACTAATGTTATAGTTTTATACATCGATGGTCATAACTAAGCTTATACCCCTCTGATATGATATCCCTTCTACTTTCACGTAATTAGAAGAATTGTTACAGCCAACAGAACAGCATGTTGACATTTTTATGTCAGGTTAATTTACTACATCCCAATTCTATAGGTTTTACACTAACACAGTGCAGTCTCTACAACTCAAATTAAATGGTGTAGCCTAATACAGAAACTAATTTTATATCGGTTTTAATAATTTTCTTGTAATTTATTATTAATGTATATGATTTATTCATGTTGTAATTTATATGCCAAGCCCTTATCAAACACATCTTCATTTAAAAAGGTTGTCGTGTGATACTTCAGAGTAATCTTTGGACTACTACAGGCATATGTAATGTTAGCATAGGTACGGTAGCTTCATGTACAAATTTACCGAAACAGAAAATTAACTAAAAGATTTCTAAATACGCATTTTAGTACAATTTGACCCACACATTTATTTTTTGAAAAATAAATTGGACCAACATTGTTCAACGGGTTGTTTGTTGCCTATCCACCAGTATGGTGTAAAACGTTCTCAAAGGCAATATCCAATGAATCTTATCTATCGATTTCGGTACATTGCTGTCAAGAATGTACTGTAAATCAGGCTGAGGTAGACTTGTCAAGGTGTAATCACGTAGAATTGTCAAGATTAAGAACAATTTAGGGCTTGTATGTTGAGCCATTTTCTATAGAGAGAGTGAAAAGCATAAATAAGAGAAGCAAATGGTAAGTAAAGAAAAAAGAGATGGCTATTGCTTATAACGATGGTTAAATTAATGAGGTTTATTGATCAATAACATTTACTCATGTTTTTATTTTGTAATCTATAATATTTTTTTATAAAAAAATGTATTTGTAAATAAGGTTATTTGTTTATATCAATGCTCACTCCGCTCAATTGGCAGACATGAGGCCGCATACCAAGTATTTTAACGCATCGGACGAATTTGAGATGTGCCTGATAATCTAGATTTGTTATTATATGTCAAGTCAAAACTGTAACGAAATAGCACAGGAAATACATTAGGATTAGGTTGACAGTTAAAACGGATCAATCTAATTAACATGGAGGAAACCCCAACTTTAACTGCTTATATCTCCTGAACCACTAGGTATAGGAAGAAATGTCAAGAATAAAATACCCCCGTCACAGCAAACCTGCAGACTAAGTGGATTTCCAATCGCCTGATTAGTTTTTAAATTAATTCAATTTAAATAACATTAGGTTTAACGAGTACCTAGGTTTGCTGTTACAGGGAGGCTAATAAAGCGGGAATGTTAGTAGAATATTAATATCTTAGTCTAAATAAATAAGTTTACCAAGTATGATCAAAATATATCCATAAACAAGCAAACTACAAGAGTTGACGATATCCTCCATAAGAATAACATGGGAATTTTAAATTAACACTTTTTTGAATTTTCTCCGTAACAGATAAGGGTACAAAAATACATCAATATACTAAATTATTTGTTTTTTAAGTTCTTTAAAATGGTTTAAAGAAAAATAGGAAAATTTTGTGCTTTGGGGGCAAAAAATAAAAAATCCCATTTTTCCCCATAAAATCCCCCATAAAACCCCCATAAACCCCCGTTCCTATGATCAGATCATGCTGGTTCGTGAACCCGTTCGAATGAATGTAAGTTTAAACGTTTATACCAAATTTCATCAAAATCCGTTCATTTTTGCACGAGTTATACAAAGATCAAACAGTGACATCCGCCATTTTCCAAAATGGCGTCCAGAAAAGAGAGTCCCACTCATACAGAGTGAACACCGGTCAAAATATCATCTCTACTACTATACAATATCATCTAGCATAGTGTTCACCGGTTACCTTTCGGGGTGAGCCAACTTTGTTATTTTACATATTTTACTAAATTTGCCTCCCCACTAAAATAGAAAATCATAACAAATGTAAGAAATTACGATCACGTGTTTTATTTACAGTGTGGGGTGAACATGCATGTACTTTTGACTTACAACCAGATATTCCATCCCCATGTTGTCGCCAGTTACTAAATTAAATTCGTCGTAGTTGATGTGAGCTACCAACAGATTGCGCTGATATAAATAACTAATTTCTGTCGAATACACGATGTTTTTCACCAAGTCAAACTTCTGGAATGACTTATTATGAGCAATGACTTACCTCAGCAATTGTTATGACCCATCAACTTTTTCAGCGACAAAAATTAAGGTAGTTTTGTGACTGGCACACAACTACATGTTTTTTAATAATAAAATTGCGATGGCTGGTCAATGGAAGGGATGTCTACTTCACTATCCATAGTCAATGAGTGGACATTACATATTTTTGGTCGAGTTTTCGATCACTGGACGACCACTAATTTAAATAATTTTGATTTTATAGATTTTTGATTATAACTTTTTAACTCTACTAAGCGTGAACTAAGAACTAGTTTGCAGCAGTTCTTTCAGATACGACCACAGTGTACAGGCATAAATAACCATTTTTCTGTCACTGTAACATTTATTTGATCCACGTATTGTATTGACAACAATGGGGACTTTTTGAAAGCGAAAAAATTCAAATTCGAAAACATGATGGGTTTGACATATTTTGATTATGTTTATCTCCATCTTTTATGTGAATCTTTTAGTGTCCGACAAGAATATCAAAAATCTACATAGAATACCTGGAATTACAAAATACATCAAGATACATCCAGTTTGTTGTGTCAATAGCTAACCTAAACATGTCGAACATGATTATTCAAGATGAAAAGTAATACTCTATTGCCCATAAAATAGTACTTTAAAATGTCAAGCTTTGAAGATTACTTCTCAAATTACTTTAGCCCTGAATCTTCACTTTAACAGACGATCTAATGGGATCAGAATATAGGACTAAGCTTCTCGTATATGATCAAACACTTAAATATCAATAACATACTATCGCGAGTTTCCAGTTTAAATTGCCTCTGTATATTTTAACCCTGTTCAAAGTTTTTGTTCACTTCATCAGATACACTGTAATCTTTCACAAGCCTATCGACATATATTGCCAACTAAAATTCGTTAGTTTAATATTAGTTTAATAATCCTATTTAAATTTCCACTGGTAATTTGGTAACTCTGAATTGGTTGACAAAATTACAAATAAAGAAGGCAGGTATTCTTGAGCGTTATTATATGTAAAAGAAATTCATGGCCTATTCAATATTGAAATCACTGCTTATTTTTCAAAAGTAAAAACATTTGACGAGGGGTTTGACGAGGAGGGAACTTGTACCTCAGTATCCATCGTGAAACTTTGGTAGACATCACTGCGGTTCATCGTCAAAACTTGAACTTTCCACTTGTGGCATGTCGAGGAGAACTTAGGCCGAGCTTTGAATAGCACTTCATAAAACTTTACCGAGAAAAATATCAGTTTATTTGCTGAATTGCCATAAAATATTTAACCATAAAATAAACCCAGCTTGGAATAAAATGAAGAAAGTTTCCAAATTCGAGTACAATTAACAAGCAAACTACTACAGTTTATTTACTCTCCATAAGAATAACACTGTAATTTTAATTTACACTATTTGGGAGTTTTTCCCGTAACGGTTATGCATACAACACACCTTCAATATATATTTTATGAATTCAAACAGATAGTGTTTAATCCCTGCGGACATCTAAACGAAAAAGTAAATACGTCCCTGGTTTAGGGATACCATGAGACCTACTATGATAGCTTATTCCCTACAAATTAAAGGTACAATATTTTACTTACCTATCGTATCTACTTTCCTTTTACTTTCTCCCCCTATACCATAGTATATGGAGAAAGTATTGTTTTCGTCAAAATTTTCGAGTTTGAGTTTTGAGTGGATATATTCGTTTTGGGTCCCCCTGGACCCAAAAAAGTGGTTTTCGAAGTGATGTCTGTGTGTGTGTGTGTGCGTGCGTGTGCGTGTGTGTGTCTGTGTGTCTGGATGTGTACAGAGCTAGGGACTACACCTGTGGTCCGATTTCGATGAAATTTGGTATGTAGGTTCTAATCCATGGTATCTCCAGGCCTTTTTTTCATTTTTTTGAAATTTTGATTTTTAATGGGGATTTTCCCATAAAAACCCATAAAAAACAGGAAAAATCGGATTTTCTCAAAAATGGCCCGAACGATTTTAATAAAAATTTAGTATGTTCTAGCCCTTTAAATTCTAAACAAAATGGTACCAATCCCATTTCTGTAAAAATTACGGTTCAAAAGTTATGGTCAATTATGTTATTTTCCCATTAAAAACCCCATAAAATAAAAAAAAAATAGGATTTTAGACAAAAATCCGGTTTTGAATCAACATAGTATGTTATGATCCTTACAACATTCATAGTTTTTTTCAATTTTTTAGAAATTTTGATTTTTCATGGGGATTTTCCCATAAAACCCCATAAAATAACGGAAAAATAGGATTTTCCCAAAAACGGCCCGAACGATTTTGATAAAAATATTGTATGCCATTGTCCTTTATATTTTGAACAAAATGGTACAAGTCCCATTTCTGTAAAAATTACTGTTCAAAAGTTATTGTAGATTATGTTATTTTCCCATAAAACCCCATAAAATAACGGGAAATCGGATTTTCACAAAAATTGCCCGAACGATTTTGATAAAAAAATTTTCTGTTAAAATCCTTTAAATTAT